AAGTCGTTCCCTCTGAGCCAGCACGGTTACTTTTTCTAAATCTTGTGCTGATTTTAAAATAAACTGACATGGTAACGACATAGAAAGAGGTAACGGAGGCGATGGAGAGAGTTTTCTCATCAGCTTCCTGCTTTAAGTTGACCACGCCCCCAAAAGCTGCTGTGTCCCTTTAAGCAGGTAATGAAACAGGTGAGTGAGACGACAGTCTGGGCTTCTTGTTTAAAGGTGAAAGCAAAAGGCGAGAGAAGGCAAGCGTGTTGCTTTGAGCGGAGAAGGGGTGTGGTAGATAGTGAGGGTGAAAGATGATCTGCTGAGACCGCTTATAAGAGGTCAGAGGTCAGTGGGGTCAGGGAAAAGCGAGCTGATTGGTTGACGTACCGACGGAGGTGGGCATCTCGCCCCACTGCAGCACCACGTCTTTGGTGATGCGTCCGTAGGTGTTGACGTAGACGCCCTCGTCCTCGTAGCACAGCAGCATCTCCATGCCGTCCGTCTTGGGCAGAACCACGATGGCGTGCGGGGTCACCTGACCCTGAATCTGCCAGGACGACAGACGGGAGGGGGGGTGTTGAATGGGGTGGGGGCAGGGGCGTTAGGAGCTGGACCCCTCTAACGTCCCCCCTTCCCCACCCTGAGAGAGAAGAAACTGCTGCAACAATAAAGCCTCCCGCTCCTCAGCCACGCAATTGCCATGGAAACAGACACGAGCACAGCGTGATTCATGACTGCCAAAAGCAATGAGAGGCGGTTGCTGTGGTTACCGTCTCCTTCGCCCGTCCATCTCTGACTGTAACCAAACCGGGGTTAAAGGAGGACACCGATTCACCCTCTGCCTCGCTCTCATTCATCCTGGATTCAGACACCAGCTCATTCACTCATTCGCTGAAACATTTAACCTTCTCATCTGTGACTTACAGCCTCTCCTCTTCATACATTCCTTTGTTCTCTTCATGACTTCTGTTCTGGGACTGTCACACGTTCATTTGTTCTGCTATTAGCTCATTCATCCTCTCACGTTCACTCCTTAAATCACACTCATTTTAAACATGCAGTCAAACACAGTTACATAGAAATGACACGTATGCAGTCATTTTT